AAACAAAAACAAAAAAAATAAATTCAGCCATTAGAATCATTACTTGACGATTTCCAACTCATAAAAACAAAACAAAATACGCTTGATTTCAAAAGAGATGCTCAATTTTAATATAGACCAGAACACAATTTGGTCAACATGTTTACATTAGTGTTTCCAGTCAAGTGTATCAATTAAAAGCCAGTAACTGTAATAGAATAAATAGGTTTTGTGTGCACATTACAAAAAATGATTTCTGGGGTTAATAAAAACTCTATACGTCAAGTTGATTTATGTTGTGTAAATATATTAATATGTGTTTTTAAATACAAACCTTTTAACGATTATAATTTGATTTTGTAGCTAAATGGTCGAACTTTAATTTACTCGAAAACAGTCTAGACACACATAAAATAACATAAGAACTCCTAAGTCACTTTGTGTTTTGAAACCAACCCACATACTTATAATAATTAATAAAATAAATACAAACAAAGTCGGGTTGATGCAATGAAACAAACATGAAATCATTCTAACGTGTAACAATCATAACGAAGAGTTGAAGAGGAAATTATATTAACTTATTTTTAAGTTCCAAAAGAAATTGTTTTTAATAAGTTTATAATAATATTAAATACTTTTTATAATAAAAATTAGATTATAATAAAACTATACAAAATTGAATAATATTAATACAATTAATAAGATTAAAATATATTACATAAGATCGACATTTGGATACATTTTTTTTAATTCTTCAACGAAATTCACAAACTCTTCTTTGTTGTATTTAACACTCTCGTACAATGAACATCCCAACAACAATTTATGAATAAAAAATACAATTCGATACCCACATTCCCATCCATTCGTTTGAATCATCACTGTCGTTTTTTTATTGAATAGTTGCCAAATAAGTCTCCGAAAAGTTTAAAATATCGAGGATCAATATCAGTTGTTATCGTTGTGTTGTTTTTATCATTTTGAGGAAGTGTGTCGAAGTAAAACAGACTCCAAGTTAAATCATGTTTTAGAAATATAAAAGCGACCCAATGGTTGTTTCTAATTAATGTTGGTATTATTAATACACTCTTCTTGTCCCAACAAAAATCGACCTTTTCAATTGATCTAAAATAAAGATCGAAAGTGTTCCAACACTCCACATCAAGTTGACTCAACTTCATTTTAATTGAATTGATAAAATCATCAAATATGAAAGATCCCAACCAATTATAAACACAATTTTTATATTCATTAACTTCGCGCGAACAACACCAATAAGTGTTGTAATCTACAAATGGAATTTTTTGTTTTGGTTCCATAATTGTGTCAAATTCGATCATTTTCTTTTCATTTAAAAAGTCCAGTTGTTTCAAACATTTTTCTTGTTGTTCTTTTCGTTCTTTGTTATGACAATTTATATTTATTTTTTCTCCTTGACTTGATGTCATCCTTTCAATTTTTTGGATATTAAATAAATTTTGTTTTTGAGTTGAAATAATTATGTCTTCAGTCTCGTTCGGTTTTGTTTTTGTTTGTTTAAATTTCGTTTCCTTTTCTTTCATTTTCATTTCTTTAATTTTTGCTTTTTCTTTCTGTTTTTTTCTTTCATTTCTTTTTTCTTTTCTATTTCCATTTTCTGTCTTATACACATTTCGTTATAAGCTCCATCGATTGATTTTGACAATTTACCATTTTCAAGGGGACGTATTGGAAATTTTGCCATTTCCCTTATAAAATCTGCTCTTCTGTATAGTTCCCTGGCCAATAATGGATTATCTCGACAGTAAAATTCACCATCAGAGCATCTGATAACATCAAACCCAACTTGTATAAATGAACTCATAACATCTGGTATAGCACACGTTTTTTCAAAACTACTGAGTACAGAAACAACACCCTTTACAAACTTTGACACTTTTAATATGGTTTTTCCTTCTTTCTTATATCCAGTCCCTTCTTCTAACATTCTTTGGTATAATATGTTGTCATTATTGGTTTTCTTGTACCCAACATAAATATCATGAAGAGGTGTTTCCAAATCCAATTTATTGGACACGACTTCCATGATTGAATTGTGCTGTTTGATCGAGTTTATCCACCCACAGTCCAATGTTTCATCCACTCTCAAGTCAATAACATTTTGCATTTTCTTAACTAATTTGTGATTTGCAAAAAGTCCAACATCAAGCATTTGTGTGTAATTTGTTGTGCATGCCACAAAAAATATAACACGAACG